GTGTTTTGTACAAGCTGATTTCCTGACTTTTTATGATCTCGACACATGCATTAATATTGTTAATAAATTTATCACATAGACAGCAAATTGAACATATAATTATTTTTTATTGGACAAATTTCCTGCTCAAATTTCTAGTTTACTGTACTTGGCAAATTTTCTAATAATGTTAATATGCATTAAAAATTAAATACTAAATAAAAGAATTTTTTAAAAGTAAAGATCAAATTTATATTAAAAAAGAATATGAATTAATTTAAGTATTTAAAAATAATATATATTAATTTAATATTTTAATTATTATTTTTTAAGTGTACAACATTTTATAAATAAAGTAAATAATTTCGAGAGAAAAAACCTCTCCCCTGCGGGTCAAAGAAGCAGTCGGGAACCGGACCAGCATTTCCTCTGTTACGTTAATTTTATCAGCAGCCATTTCAGAAGCCGGATTCCTCTTCCACTCAGCCTTACCTGCTCCACTTCAATTCTTCACTTGTCAGCTCTTGCTGAATCCATCTAAAAACTGAAACATAACAAAGATATGACCACTAGGAACTTCGAGGCAATGAGAGTCACGTTCTCATTGCTTGCGAGCTCACGACGTCGACAATGAAAATCGCTTCTCTGTTTCTCCGTTCAGTGATTCAATTCTTTCCGAGGAAGTCATGGTACTATTTTTTCCACTCATCCAGAGACACAGAAATTGCCATATTCAATGAAGTGCTGGCCATCCGTGATACTATCAACCCCATGGAACCCGCCTTGGAGCCCCTTGTACCATTCTTATCACCTGCGGTCATCTCCTCTATCATTCAGGAACGGGGAGATCTGCTACTGGATTTCCGGTTTTTCATCTGGGCATCAAGGAGAAAGCGTTTTCGCAGCTGGGCATCTCACGATTTGATCATTGACATGCTTTCTAAGGAGAAGGGGTTTGATTTGTTTTGGCTGACTCTGGAGGAGCTGAGAAAAGGACGATTTCTCATTGCGTCCGACGCATTTTTGGTACTGATTTCCGGTTACGCGAAGATGGGTTTAGCTGAAAAAGCCGTCGAATCATTTGGTAAGATGAAGGAATTTGATTGCAAGCCCGATGTATTCACTTATAATGCGATTTTGCACGTCACAATACGTAAAGAGGTGCTTTTGTTAGCTTTAGCTATTTATAACCAGATGTTGAAGGGTAATTGTGCGCCTAATAAAGTTACATTTAGCATTTTAATCGACGGATTGTGCAAGAGTGGCAAAACGCAAGATGCATTGAAGATGCTCGATGAAATGACAAACAGAGAAATATCACCAGACAGAATTACTTACACGATTGTTATTTCGGGTTTATGCCAGGCGAAAAGGGAAGATGATGCACTTAGGCTGTTTAGTACCATGAAAGATCGTGGTTTATCACCTGATTCTGTTTGTTACAATGCCTTATTGAATGGGTTTTGCAAGTCAGGCAGGCTTGACGAAACTTTTGCGCTCTTGAGATCCTTCGAGAAGGATGGTTTTGTTCTTGGTGTACCTGGATACACTAGTTTGATTGATGGCTTGTTTAGAGCTAGGAGATATGATGAAGCATATGCATGGTACAGAACCATGTTTGATAAGGATGTTAAGCCTGATGTAGTTTTATATTCTGTAGTGATTCGTTGCCTTTCGGAAGCAGGCAGAGTTAAAGAAGCATTGCTGTTGTTACAAGAA